ACATCCCCTTTCTTCCCAGTGTTGGGCCTGTGTGTGCGCTTGCTTTACTACCACCTACAGTGACCAAGGCTCAGCTCTTCGAAAGCAGGCACACCCCCAGCTCCAGGCCTTGGCTCGGGGGCCACCTCCTCAGAAGGGCCTTCACTGGCGCCACACACTGAGGTGACCTCCTCCAAGAACTCTCTCGTGCCACCCTTCTTATCTCTCTCTCACTGTTCATCAAAACCTCAGATGGTATGTCCTTCTCCTTTTTTATTGGCAAGTCTCTCATTATAAACCATTTTTTTACTTGTACATCATATGTGTTATTCACTTGGCACAGTGCCTGTGCCTTTTGATACACACCTATTGAATATTTCAGTTAATTAATTAATTATACTGACAGTCCTGCTTTACCAATAATCAGTTTCATTGCCATTGTCTAAAGTGAGCTGACCTGACGTCAGTGAGGGCAGCGTGGCACAGCGACACCTTTTTCAGGCCCCGGCAGCATCGCCCGGCATCATATGGCTGTTACTTACTGTCGTTCAGGCACCTGCCGCCTCTGTGGCTTGGGTTTCCGTTTTGTTCTGCAAGTGCTCTGTGCCCCAGAAAAAAGAGGCATTCCCCTTTCTGAAGTCAGACCTCAGGACCCTTGCACAAAACGACTTCTTCGTGTCTCATAATTTCTGCTTCCTGAAATCCTCTGAGCACTTTAGTCCAAGAAGTGTCAAGTATATAAATGTATCAAATCAACAGTTGTACCCTTTAAACTTTCACAGTGTTATATGTCAATTTTATCTCATTTTAAAAAAAGAAAAATAAGTGTCAATTAAGCTTTAAATTGGAGAGTTTGGGAAATGGACATATTGATAGTGGATATGTAAATAATTACTTTCTGTAAAGGGCCACTGATATTTTAAATTTTAAAAATATATTAAAATATACCTACATAAACCTTAATCAAGGAATTCTGTTTCTGGGAATGCATCCTGATCCCAATGATACAATCATAGGAACTAATCATGATTACTGGACATTTCCTATGTGCTATTTGAATACATTTCATGTACTGTTTAAAATATCTGTCTCCTATGTTCTTATAGCAGTTCATCAAGGTAGATTTTATTATCCCAATTTTATATATCAGGAAATGGAATCATGAAAAATTTGAACTAACTTGCTCTGTGCCAATAAGAAGTGGGGCCAAATTTTGAGCCAGGCATTGACTCACTCGACCACATAGCTTTTCCTGGATAAATGCAGAATAGCTTATAGGAATATTCAGAAAAGTGTTGTTATAAGTCTTGAAAATTTGGATAAATAAATAAGGGCATACCTATTGTTCATAATACAAAAGATGACCACTATAAATTGTTAACTGAAAACATCTACTTACAAAATAGTATTTCCATTAGGACTTCATTTTGAAAAAGAAAAAAAGATGTATTGATTTTGTTTGTTATAATCTAACCAGTCCCTTTCTCAGTATCTGACACATAGAACTTGCTTGTTGACTGAATTAACTGTGAATATACATAATAGTCAAGAAACTAGAAAAATATACCACACACTTTTACTGGTGTTGATCTGTGGGTTGTGAGATTATGAATGAAATTTATTTTCTTTTTTTTTTCGTCATATTTTACATTTTCAACACTGAGAATATGTATTTTAGTAATCATAAAAGGAAAGGAATAAATGCTGTATTTTAAGAAATCATTTGGATTCTATCTTAAATAGCATTTCCCCATTAAGTCTCTTTTTCCCTCCCTAAATCTCAGATTTCTACCTCATTCGTATTCAAAGCCCTTTAGTCAAAGCACCTGTCTGTAGCTCACCTTGCCCTGTACTACATTTGGGGGTCATGTCTCACTCTTAAGTGCCAATTCCAATTCTCCCCTTAAATAATTCCTTGAGCACTTGGACTATATTTTATTTATCTTTATATCCCTTTCACTTTCTGGGCAGTGCCTCGGATCTAATAAGTGCTCACTAAATGTTCGTTGTTGGACTCGTAGTATCATTCATCTGATATCCGACTGAATAATTTGGAAGGTGAAAACTTCTGGCCCATTAGCTGATACCCAAGATACAGATTTAGTTAAATTAGCAAAAACAATGCCATGCGGAGCCATATTGGAGCCTTAAACAAAAGGGAAGACATATCAGTGATACCGAGTCTGTCTTGATTTAATATTTTGATATTTTGTCCATCATGGATTTTTTGCATTACTTTTATTTTTTAATATTACATTAAAATATTTATCTTCATTTTTTTCACTTCACCTAGTTTCAGTTCTGCTTTAGAATGTAACAGAGGCAATGCAATTTAAGCATCTTTCAACAACCCAGATACTGTATGTGTGTGTATGTATACTTTATATATATATATACAGTCATCCTAATGGATACCTATACTAATATTATTATTATTATCTTTGTTTGTAGAAAAGGAAACTTCAGCACAGAAACCAAGGTCACCAACTTGAAAGTGGTAGAAATGGGATGGAAAAGTCATTAGTGGGAATAAGTAAAGCAGAAAGGAAAGCCGAAAGTTGAATATTTTTTTTTTTTAGTTTGATCCGTGTAGAAAATTATTTGGGTAGAGTAAGTCAATAAAAAAATAAAGAACCTGGTTAGTAAAGACCTTGATTTTTATCAAATGGAAGTCATTCATTAATTTTTCAACACTCACTCACCTGCCATTGAGGCAGTTACAGTGCAGGTTAAGTGACATCAAATACTCGCTGGCCCGGGAACCTAGGTGCCTGGGGCACTGTGTTAATGTCCAGCCTCAGTCTCCTCTTAAAAAACATTTCTCTCTTTATTCCCCACTTTGAAGTGGTTTTTCCAGAGAAAGTCAGGAGTTATGACCTCTCTGCTTCTGACTTTATGACGCAATTAACAGTTAGTTCAAGCAGGCTATTTATTTGTTATGGACAGCAAACATTTAGGCCCATCCTCAATCTGCACCTATGATGCTCGCCAAGGAACATGTGTTAGAAATGCATATTCCTGGGCCGCATTCCAAACTACTACATGAGGATCTCAGTCATCAAAACAATATTTAAGGAGCTGGGGTTTGGGAGGCCTATCAACTAGGTTGAAACCTAACTCACCCGTTTATCAGCGATGGAGCCTTTGGCAAAGAACTTAGTCTTTTGTTTGTTTGCTTAGCTTCAATATCCTGATAGGTAAAGTGGGAATAAAAATACCTGCCTCTCATAAGGCTGTTGTGAAGATTAAATTAGAATGAAGGTCTAATTATAATGATATTTACAATAAAAGCTCACAAATATTGAGTACTTACAAAGTGTCAAGTGCCGTGGCAAATGCTGTACTGTCTCACTAACTTGTCTTAAGCACTTGGTAGAATTCTCACTGCATAATATGTCCTCAACTGGTAAGAGCTATAGGTCGAGTAGACACTCAGAACTGGTGGGGAGCTGGTCACAAAGATCAGATTCGAGTCTGGGGTCTGAGAATAATGGATAACCTGGAGCAAATTGTCTAGCTGGTGGTCCCTGAAGCCAGTCAGGTCAGAATCGTCTGGGTGAGCTCACTATCCCTGTATGACTGATTCTCACACCTCCAACTCAGTAGCTCTTGGTGAATCAAGAATTCCCTATTTCTTAAAAAGCCCAAGTGATTTAGAATCATAGCCAAGATATAAAACAACTGATCAACTTGAGGTTTAGGTTCCTTAAGATTCACAAGACTAGGGAATAAGTCATTCCCCTCCCCACTTTTTCTTAAATATTTCATGCCCGGGACAGTGCAGCAAGATAGAAGACACTCAAAAATAGCTTCCATTGGATGAGCATAAAATGGGTCTAACAAAGCCTGGTCTTGCTATTTCATAGGGGATTTATGAGGATTGCTTGTAAAGGTCCCTTTGCTGGAGCATCTGAAAAATAGAAGATGCTATACAAAAGTGCAATTTCATAGATTTAGTCATTTATTTTAGTGTGTTTTCTCTCACTCTGTAAATATAAATCACTTGGTTTGGGGGTATCCACTATTACATCAAGTTTCTGAAAAGGAATCATAGCAAGATTGCAGGTGAAATATCTCTTCCAAATTACTCAAGATAATTTCAACTTAGATAATTTTTTACTCAGAATTAAATGCTATAGAATGACCCTAAAGTCTATATACACTTACGCACATTAATTTCCATATTGAAGTTCAACCCTGTCGACTTTTCACTTCCTCACTCTTTAGTGAGAGTTTTAGACCCGTCTCATACCACGTCCGGTTCGTACCACCAGCGCCCTACAGTCTGTTTCGGGCAACCCTTACTGCCTCCCACTAGAACAGCTAAACCTTGACTGAAGAGACCCAGAAGTGCTATTTCAGTTCCTTCCAATTGCCTATCATTCAGCTATTCTGAAATACAGACACCCTTTGGGAAGTCATGGAGGTCTCCAAGCTCAGGCTTATGGGGGAGGAAATGAAGAGATTTAGAAACAAGTTCTTCAGGAGGAAGAAAACAAACGCGCCCTGGAATGCGAGGGTCTCCTAAGAGTCAGAAAGGCAATTATACGCTGATGCTGAGACTCAGTGTCCCGTAGCTTATATGATTGGGCTTGAATTCTTCATTCCCCCTGTGCTGCAGGTATAGCAGCAAGTGATCTTCAACACAGAAGGGAAGGAAGAGATTAACATTTGACCACCTTGAAGTATTTGGACCCAGAGTTCTGCAGAGCTGACAGGCCATATGCAACAAGACTTCCCTGGTTAGCCCCCCCCCCTCTCTCTCCCTCTCCCTCTCTTTGCAAACCTACTCCACTGAAAGTAGTTCGTTTTTCAGTGCTGCCTCATTGGTGGGAATAAAATAAGCTTCAACAGGAAAAGAAAAAAGGGTAGAAAGGATTAAATCCATTTCCAGCTCACAGTGCTTTTCTGGGATGTGTGGGGACTTACATTCACAGATGCAGAGATAAACGTCTTCAGATCTGGAACCAGTGCAAAGCCCCAAGGAGGCAAAGCGACGGGTGGGGGGAGCTTTCTCCTACCTTCCGTGGCTCCAATCTCGAGAGTGCCTTTCACTTGGCTGAAGCACCATAGTGCATCCTGGGTGAGCGCCCCGATTCCTGAAAGCGACACAAGGAGACACTTCAGGTTAGATAGCTCCCAGTTGCTCTTAAAAGGCCAACAGGAAAGGACTGCACCGTGCCATCCATGCATTTCTAAAAGGAGACTTGCACAAACCAGGTATCATCCTGTCAGAGAGGAGACCGTAGAGAGTCCAGGAGGATGGTGGGTCTGCACGCCTGGGGCCCGCCGTGAATCACGGCTCTGTCTCCTCCATCCAACCGCAGGACCAGTCCGAGCTGGAGCGATCGGAGCCCATCGCTCCCCAGCCCCTGGCAGCGTCCTAGAGCAGCGCCAGCGGGCCTGCCGTCACACCCTGTGTGACTGACTGCCCCTTTTCATGGGAATACTAATGCTTTCGATTGTTTTCCCTCTGTCGTGGTGGTGAGGAGAAAGAGGCAGTTCATTAGAGGGGAGAGACGAAAAGAAAGGCAACATTTTTTTTTATTAACTGGTTTCACAGCTTGTACGGCTGAATGGCCAGTAAGGGCTCAGACACTCAGAGAACTCGCATCTCCCTTGTTCACTTCTTGACTGCTGGCCAGGTTCAGAGCTGCCTGGAGAGGAGAGGAGGCGAAAACCTTGGAGGCGGGGGTGGGGTGGCCGACACCAGGCTGGGGAGTCAGTGCTGACAACAGTGGCCTATTTTGCTCCATGGGAATTTCTGTTTCAGATTCAAAACTGGACCTTTGGCAGGGCTAAAGTTTCTGGCTTATTATGACTTACGGTTCTACAAATGTAGGTATCCAATATTAATATATACACCAATACATTTACTAATATATGTATGCAAGTCAAAAAGGTCCTTTTCAGAATGCTTCTGGGTGGAAGTGGTCCCAGTTTGCTTTTCAACAGCAGGGCTGTTCCCTTCATTTCTACTGGGTTTTAAAAAATTGCATAACCCAGTTTCAGGAGAGGCTATCAATGTCAGAGTGATTTTATTAGTAGAAACAAATCAAATATCAAAACCAAACTGACCTTTTAAAAACACGCACAGAACCGAGTCACCACCCTCACTGGCAGAGACAGACTTCTACTGAACTCCTATACGGAAGCCCACGGGCTTTTCTCACCGTGTCCACAGCACTTGCTATGCACGAGGCAGACGGTCCTCACAATGAATGTTTGCTTTGCACTCACATGGGGTTTACAGTGTGGCTCTGACCTTGGATAAGTTCCGAGATATGACAACACTGTTTCCCATTTTTAAAATGGCAAATAATAATAATAATAGTACCCATCTCTCAGAGTTGTTATAGACATTGAATGTGCTTAGCACGGTCAAGTCACTTAATAAAGGCTATTATTATTATTTCTGTTATCACCAGCAAGGATTCTAAAATGTTAAATGGTAAAGAAAGAGAAGATTAGCTGAGAAATCTTTAGTTGCTGTGAAGCAGGCACTGTGCTAAGAACTTCATAGAGATTATCAGATTCTCGCACAAATTATTATAACCCCGTTTCGAAGTGAAGAAATGGAGATTCAGAGTTTTGGTAACTCATCCAAGGTCATACCTAGGACATGGAAGCGCTGGGATTTGCAGCCAGGTTGTCAGAATCCCTGTATTTCCAGTGACACGATGTCAGCCTGGGCATTGCACTGCGAGGGCTCGTAGGTCCAGAGAGGCCGCTCAGTTTAAACTAGAGTCTCCCTTGGAAGGCTGAGCGGGAATAGTTTCAGATGTCAATGATTAAAGGAACTATATGTCCTCTATGACCACACAGGGCTGACACTTCCTGTTAATCAGCACCTGGGAGGGAAAAAGGCGGGCATGGGCATTGGCAGCACCTGTCAGCGCCCAGAGAGGCCACGCCTACAGTCTTGCTGCTGCCCCCTCCCTGCATTCATTCGTGGCTCAGGCCTTGGGTCTCAGCAGCAGACATTCCTTGAGAAGTTCCTGCTCTCCCCATGAGCTCTCATGGGCCCTTGTCCAGCAGCCGGTTCTGCTGCTGGCCCTGGGGCTGCACCTGTCTCCTAGGGAGCGGCAGGTACCCATCAGGCTCTCCTTGAGGTGGTCCCGGCACTTCCTGCAGCAGCAGCTATGACCCTGGGTGTTCTTATCACAACGCCTGCACTTTCAAGTGAGCAGCCATACACAGCTCTGAAATACAGACATATGCACACCTAGGCAGATTTAAATATGAGCCTACATAGAGGTATTTGTATTGCTTCATGGAACTGTGGCTTTAGAAAGAGTGTTGCACATGTGTGAAATCAATTTATCTCACATTTGAAAAGCCAAATTGTACAAAATTACCAGCTTGCTGTGAGTCACAGAGCAAGGGCTCCTGTAACCAATTCGCTGTGAGAGTTCCAACCATGACCCTAAGTGGATGTGGTTTCCTGGAAGCTTGACCACTGTTGAGTAGGACTCAAGTGATTCGTATGAATGATCAACGCACCCAGAGTTTTTGTCAGTTTTCTTGTTCTGGGAAGTCTTTAATTGGACCCAGTTTCTGTCTTCCACCCAAATCCTTGTCAAATGCTGGTATTAATGATGCAGAGAGAGTTTGGACCATGCCATCTCTACCCCAGCAGTGCTAAACAGCAGCTGAAAACACAAGCGCAGACACAGGTTAGGATGTAAATGAGAAAAGCTGGGCCAGGTGTGAGATATTTTGTGGCATTGCCGCTTGGCCTGGGCCAGTGATCAGTTCTGGGATGGTGGAGACGGTGGGCCCTGGAGGACTCGGGCCTTGTGTGGGGAAGGCGGGGTTCCTATGGCCAGGATTCCACTGAACTTAAACCACCTGATGATGTAACTGGCCTTTACTAAGCTACGGCTTCCACACCTGTAGGCAAGAAGCTATTACTGCACTATAGAGAGAGCTCGGCCCAGTGCACTGCATGGAGGCAGAGATGCTAGTGCTCGACCTATCGGGAGAACAAGCCGGGGAATAAACCCTTTCACCCCAAGAACGTTCTACTGTCATTTCTTTGGTCACACTGAATCCATAGCGAACTTGCCCGGGGCTGAATCCCACTGGCAAGACACCTTGTCTAAAGCGAGTGGCAGCTACTCAGATCCAGTTCAGAGCTGCCATGGAAGATTTCAGCCCACTGTTACTGGATTGGCTGACTTTTTTTTTTTTTTTAAGAAGCCAGGAATCTCGATTATTCTGTGAAAACCAAATTTTTTAATGTTACCATTCAGTGCAAATTAAAACACCGTACGGTTCACACCACACAGGATGAACACAACACATCTGCAGGCAGAAGGTAGTATTTGTGCCACCAATTTGCAAGCCTCTGGTAGCATATTTGATCTGAAAGACACCTTAGAGAACAGTTAGTCCATCCTCTCCATTTGGCGTATCAGGAAGCACCGCCCCAGGAGGGGAAAGAACTCACAGCCTAGGAGAGCCGCTTCGGTCGTAGACAGACTCCAGGGTGACCCTTCCTGTTCTTGCACCGGACCTCCTTCCACCACCAGGCTGTCGCTCATGGGGCATCTGTCTAGAGTTAATGAATGTTTTTAGGGAAGTGTATTTGATTGTTCAAGCGGATGACTAGGAGAATTAGGCTGACATGGGAAGGAAATTTTGTTTCCCTTGAATTACAGACCTTGACAGCTTCCCTAAACCCTGGTGCCAAATGATACTCCAGTTGCTATGGTAACGATGTCAATAAGCAACCTTCTCTACCAGCAGATTGGTACAGATCCATTGGCTAAATGTCTCAGAAGATGCTCATTCCTCTCCCCACAGCGATGGCTCCGGAAGGTCCTGGGTCTCACCTACCTAAAGGCCAGGAGGTCAGCCCTCTGAAGGCACATGTCTGTCTTCTCTCCAGGCTCATGTAACTGCTGGTCTCTGAATCTGGTCAGCCCTTGGCCATCATTTGGGCCCACGGTCTTCCTTAAAAGCAGAGAACACTGAAGCCCAAGGCAGCCATGGAGTTGGCAGCAGACACGGACGCAGACCCGAGCACCCCTCCACCCAGCGCAGACCCGCCTCCCTGCACAATCCCAGAGGGGCCCCTCGGCGTGGAGGCCGGCCTTCACGCTGCCTCTGCTGTGCCAGCTCAGCGGTGCGAATACAATGAACAGAGGGTGTGACACACAGCAAATAAAGCTCCTTATTGATTGGGAGGCTGCTGTAAAGAGTTATTTTCATGGACTTGGCATCGGCAGTGTGCTTCCTCTGCAGAGAAAGAGAGAGAGGTAATCCTTAGCCAGACAGAATCTCCCTGGGGAGCATCTATTTGTGAATTGGCTATGATATAGGCTGTAGATGTATATTCACCTACACAGAAAGAGCCACCACGGGCGGCCCCCGAATGTGTCAGGGGTGCCACAGTAACTGAAGGCAGACATCCAGTGTGGGTGGACAGCTTGCTGAAACACCAGCCCCAACTTGTAAAAATCTTCGTATGAAGGATGCCAGATCTCAGAGGAGACACACAGCTTCCAGAAACGGTGACAGATAAGGGCGCTCTAGACTTTAAGGAACAAAAGAGAGGCTTTTATTTTTTAACTCCCTGCGTCCACACCGTGTGTACGGCTCACAACCATGGCTGCCACGTTAGTAAAGACAGGCTGCTTCTCCATATCCAACTTGCCGGTGAACTTAGAAAGAACAGGAATAAGCAGTGGAGATAAATATGCCACATTTTTTTTTTT